GTTCAATTTTCTAGTTTGATACTTATTCTAGTTATTTGTCTCAATTTGTAGGTATTGTGAGGGATTTAGAGCATTAATGGAGTGATTCAAGTGGAACAAACAATGGACGAAGGGTACATAAGGGTCTGGGCATGCTTTTGGTGTCGGGATGCACCCCATACACTAGAATGTTGAAAAATGAGGAGTGCATTTTTCTAGAGAAACATGATCGTTCAAACGTGCATACGACAAAACCTGATAATATGCAGATGCATCCGGACGCACTTATCCTGTCCAGATGCGAGCATTAATTTTTGTCTAGAGAATTTTGGCCGTCATGATGCAGACTGCTCGTCGGAACACTCATTTTGATTGNGACGCACTTATCCTGTCCAGATGCGAGCATTAATTTTTGTCTAGAGAATTTTGGCTGTCATGATGCAGACTGCTCGTCGGAACACTCATTTTGATTGTTGTACATGTGATTTGGATGAGATATATTCCTTTCCAATATGTAATTGTGTCAAGGGCAACCCTAGTCTCGTTAGTAGAAATAGTCTCTATCAGGTATTTAGAGGGGACCTCCACTGACAAGTAAAGAATAATTTTATTTTTCTTTTTAGCCTAGGGTTGTAGATTTGTGATTATTTATTCAAACAATTATTTTTATGCAATTATAGTTTTGATCTTAATATTAAATATTTATATTTTCAATATTGATCAAATTTTTTTAGCAAAATTAAAAAATTTTAAATTGACTACACTGACGTTGAAAATAAACTGAGTTTATTATAAGGGAAAATTTCATCCACACCCCGTGTTATTAGGTCTAAATTCAAGGACACTCCCTCCCGATTCTGAAACTTCACTGTCACCCGTTGTCAATGNTTGTTATTAGGTCTAAATTCAAGGACACTCCCTCTCGATTCTGAAACTTCACTGTCACCCGTTGTCAATGTTTGTCGGATTACGACATTAACGACAATTGTTAATTTATAGAAATACCCCTAAATATTTTATTGGATAAATTTTATCTACACCCCTTACAAATAGACAGAACTTCAACGACAACCCCTATAAATAGATCTATCTTTAAAAATATCTCCTCCCGATTTTGAAATTTCGATCTCCTTTTTAATCTATATAATAAAGTATAATACAATTCAAATTTCAAAAGATAAACAAAATGACTTTTACTTTTCGCGGTTGAGATATCTTTAAATTTTATTTTTAAAATTAATCCAACAGCTAGTATTAAATCCCAAATTTAATAAAAAAAAATAGGTCATATTGGTGTGTTTGAGATAACTTTTTAAAAATACTTCTAAAACTTATAACTTCCCATAAATACTTTTAAAAAAAAAACGTAATGTTTGAAACTATCCCACCACCTCCACTACCATTACCGTCCCCATTGCCCCACCACCATCAACATTACCACCCCCAATGCCCCACCCAACCCCCACCACCATCACCATCACCACTATCACCACCACCATCATTGCCACCCCACCGCTACCACTTCCAGCACCCCACCACCACCATCTCCACTACCACCACCACTGTTTCCCTACCACCACCACCATTGCTACTGCCACCGCCACTGTTCAAACATCACCCCCTACCACCACCCCCTCTGCCACACTACTACCCTCACGACCATCATCACTACCACCCCCACTATCATCGTTGCCACCCCACAACCGCTACCACTCCCACCTTACCCCATTGCTCCACTGTCACCACCATCGCCACCCACCACAGATTACTACCACTGTCGTCCACCGTTATCACCCACCACCATCGTCATCTCATTTTTATATTTATTACCACTACCACTATCATTCCACTACCATCGTTGCCCACCATCAGCACCCACCACCACCATTATAGCCCACCACCACCCATCGTCGCCTACCATTACTGTTAGCCACTATTATCCCACCCCCACCACACCTATCACCACCACCACCATCACCATTCGCCATCATCCATCACACTATCACCAAGAAACACCCGTCATTGCTTGCCACCACCACTACTGGCAACCATCATCACCGTCGCCCATCACCACCCATACCCACCACTATCATCGTCGTCACCCACAACTACCACCACCACTATCACCTACCCCATTACTATCACTCACCCCCATTACAACCGGTGCTTAAAATTCTTTTCTCTCTCCTCCACGTTTGTGATTTAATTTTAGGTGTAATTACAAATATGTTTATCATTTATCATTTTTTTTATTACTCCATGCCTTCAGGTAGAAACAATAACTAGTTCTATTTTACCAACTTTTAAGTTCATCAATTTAATAATTAATTTTATCAAATTAATTTCATTTATTTAATTTAAACTAAATTAACATTCCATCTCATCAAATCAATACAAAATTGATATTTAATTTTATCAAATTAGCATTTAGTTATATTAATTTAATATTTATTTCATCAAATTAATATTATTTCTTTAATTTAACATTAAATTATTATTTAATTTCATCAAATCAACACCAAATTTACATTTAATTTTATTAAATTCAAATTTAATATATTAAATAGAATATTAAATTTCATTAATTTAACATTTAATCTTATCAAATTAATGTCAGTTATTTAATTTAACACCAAATAAACATTCAATTTCATTAAAGTAACATTTAAATTTATTCAATTAACATTAAATTTTATCAAATCAACACTGAATTAATATTTAATTTTATCAAATTAAAATCAAATTAATATTTAAATTTATCATATTAAGACCAAATTTATTTAATTAATATTAAATTTTATCAAATAATATTTAAATTTTATATATGAAGGGTGATGTGTGAAGAGTGGTCAGGTGACATTGTGGAGAATAGACGATAGCTAAGGAGTTAGAAATAGATGAGATTTTGATATTGACTTTATTAATTGTAATTTTTATTATAGAAAAATTATTTTTAACTATAAAAATTATAAAAAAAATCGATTATTTAACCAAATGAGTGATAATATGATTACAAATATTATAACACAGTTATCATACAATGCTTTAAAATCACAAAAATTCATTAAGATAATATAATGATAAAAATCACGTTTATGTCAAATTACTCCTCTCCTATGTCTCTGCCTCCATCAACAGTTGAAGAAAATTTCAATCCTATAATAATACATCACAGCATATTGACATAACAAAATGGAAGAAAAAAATTAAACAGAGTGCATGAACAAAATTAAAAAAAAAATTGCATGAAAATTTTTAAAAATCTCTACAAGAAAAAAATTAAAAATATTTGCATGAAAAAAAAACATGAAAAAAAACTGCATTAAATTTTTTTAAAAAAAAATACATTAAAAAATTAAAAAACATGCATGAAAATATTTTAAAAAATCTGCATGAAAAATATTTACAAATTTGCAAAAAAAAAAAAAAAAATTCTTTTTTTACCAGTTTAGGTTGTGATCAATCACTGTAGAAAACGAGTTGAAGAAGAATGACTAACTTCAGTTCTCTATGTTTTCCAGTAACATCAGATCGTTTTTGACCTTTAACAACAATAAAGAGTATGGTTTATATAATGAGAAAAGGGTTGAAGANCAGTAACATCAGATCGTTTTTGACCTTTAACAACAATAAAGAGTATGGTTTATATAATGAGAAAAGGGTTGAAGACATTTTAATATATTTAGATAAGAAATGATAGTTTTGACATTTTAAAAAAACTTATAATCAAACTATTACTTTGTGTACTGACAAAGTTAAAAATTGTCATTTAGAAGATGTATTTGATTTAAAAGTATAAACAAGAAGGGGGTGCATTGAAGTTTCACAATCGAGAGGGAGTGTCACTGAATTTACACATAACTAGAAAGGATGGGGATGAAATTTTCGTTTATTATAAACTGCATGAATATACTTGTCTGATAAATATGATCAAATTTGGATCCTGAAACTAAAGAGTCATGTCTCCAATAATTATTTACCTCAAATTTGCTTCACAATCATTCCTCAAACAACTAAATTTTTTTGAAAACCAATTCTTGTTCTTCCTTCACCTTAATACTCGGATTTGTCAAGTATTACGACTTCGTGACCGTCTATGCTTGAGCGTAATGTTCGGGATCAAGCAATAATATTTAGGAATTACCTCTAATTTAGTTTTTTTGGAAAAACCCAATTAAGCACACTAGTGGATAAATTTGCAACAATATTAATGTGACAACCAAGGATGAGGAGTGGGATAGAGAGTTGATGCAAATTTGATGCATCACACTAGACCGCCACTATTTTATATACGAAAAATTCCAACCCCCATCCCCCGAAGACGACACCACCAAATTGCTAAAAAATCTCACACCTTAGCTAATTACGAGACGATGGCAGTGCATTTAAACCCGCAGATTTCACTTCCACGAAAGGAACATATAAAAATTAGATGGAACAAGCATGTTTTCATGTATTACCATTTTTTCAAATGGTGGTGACAAGCTATGTTCCTTCTCACAAGATCATTTACAGAGCACTGAATTTGCAATTTTTTCAACTACATGTACCAAATAAAATAAACCCAAAATAAGCACGAGTAATGCTCCCCCCCCCCCCCCCCCCCCTCCCCCCGCGGGAGGGGCATAATGCAATACTTTCAGCTGGAGAACGTGTTCATAGCAATGAATCAACTACTATATTGTGGTAGTTTTTGATTTTATTCGATCTGTACGATAATAACCAACTCTCATTCCTTATTGAACCGTATCTTACATAAAAGCATGGATTAAACCCAGGCTTTTCAATGTAAAAGCCAAGACATGCTTTTAAGATTTTCCATTGAAAGTGTGTTTTGTAAACACGCTTATAATTTAAAAGTGTGCTCAAGAACCGTGCTGCTGCGAAGAAGATGAAAAAACAGAAGAACATGGATGTCAGAATATGCCCCACGAGACTGATCAGCAAGTTTGGATATTCAACATGACAAAAGCACAAGACTAGCAATGAAAGTTGATTTCTATTATCTCCGGAGTCTGCAATTCAGATTTTTGGTGGAGATGTGATTCATTTCAGAGATCGCAATAAAAACTCAACTAACAAACAAGCAGATGTTTCTCTTTTCTACAAATATGGTAGTATCGATAATGGATCGTGCAATCTTTCTCCATTTTGTACAGCAAAGTAGCGTGTGTTCAGGCATAAGGGGAACAACATGGTCCTATTGCAGCAAATCCCAAAAGTTAAAGCAAACCAGAAGAAATATATGGCAACTGTATTAACAGTAAATACAAACTCTCTTATTTTTACCTCACATCAGAAAAATGTGAGGTATGATATAAGGGGAGGAATCCAAAAGGGCATCACAAGAAAATCAGAAGCCTTATGGAAATAAAGCAAAAGGCTACCACCTCTCAGGCAACAGAGGGTGGCGATTGGGTTCTGACTACCTTCCAAAGCTTGACCCAATCCACCATGGCTTGAGCAGCACGAGCAAACACAGGATCCAATGGTCCCAGCCGCTGCTTTACTGCTTCAGCAATCTCAACCACACAATCCTCTGCTGTCACTGCTGCTCGAGACAACCTCACTGACTGAAAGAATGGGACAACTTCCTCCATCAACTTCACCCCTTCCCACTCTTTCTGCAAACTCTCTATGGCATCACCTCTTTCCTTTCTCCACACATACGGAAGCCCACTTTTCACACCGAGTCTCAAGTGATCACATACCACCTTAAGACACATGCCGCACCATATATCTTCCACTGTTTCCCACCTCAAATTTCCTTCCCTTGCCAACCTCAAAGCTGGCAACAAAGCAGGTCCCACCATCTCACGATCAAAACCTATGTTGATTCCACTCACAGGCATCATGACCTTCGCAGGTACAGTCAAAACAGCATCAACGTATCGAGAGTTCCTCTGTCCGGGCTTGAGGGCTTGTGTGGGTGCATCATAGTCTGCTAAATTAAGCCAAAGTCCACATGACAGAGCACAGGTCACCCCACTCCGCAAGCTAAATGGATAACCGCGAACAAAATCTGCTCCTTTACGGTAAGGGTCATAGAGTGTATTAAAGAAAAAAGGAGTTGCCGGAGTTGTAAGATTGGTGACATGCTGGGTCACTACATCCACTAAATTGCCGTCGCTGTCTCTAGCAGGGATGCAATCATCATCAATCGAGATAATATATTTCTTCTGTGATACAAGGTAACCAAAGTACCGGCATGAATAGCCAGAAAGGAGAAGAGAAGCAGAAGACGGCCTCACAACTCGCTCTATATCAGATTTAGTATACACATGAAGGTTAAAGCCTTCGGGAATCCGAAGTTCATCTTTGAGGTCTGGATCTTTGATGATTATCAGGTGGAATCGGGAGAACACTGGTCTCCACTCTTCCATGAAGGATGTCATATCAGCATGGAGTACACCAATCACAACATCAACCTCGTTGTCCTTGATGCTTACTTGGGCCATTTTATCAGAATTTGTGGTGAAAAAATATCAGAAAGCAAAAACAGGCTTCGTCCTTGAAACAGCTAGTGTTTGAGTTCTAGTGTGCTCACACAATGTCAAACAATATTAGAATTTCTCAGAGCATCCTGTCAAGAGCATTATGAAAGTCAAGAGCTTCTTTAAATTCAAGTAGAACAGATTAAATTCAAATACAACTTACTAGTGGGAAGGACAGGAGTGTGGACATGCTGGATATTAAGTGCTTGGATGAGAGAAAGGATTTCTTCTTTGCCAGTTGCCAGGAACAGCTTCAAGATCTTCTCAGTCAGCTTCCCAGCTCTCAGAGTTTTCTGCCAGTCAAGAAAATCAACACTTTTTCTGTAAGAATTGTGTATTACCCAAAGGAAGAGGGAGATCAATTTTGCCATAAACTACAAAATATCCAAAGCTATGTATTTAAATAAGATTCAAAATAATCATAAAGCCTCCCAAGGGCCAGTGTGATGATGCAAAAAATTATATGCTTATGTCTCTATATCTACATATCTATTTATGTTAATAAAGTATCTGGTGTGTCAAGACTCTAAGCACAAAGTCTGAAATAGAATTGGCACAAACTGGACTGAATGGGCAAGAATAGAAAGACTGATAAAACTGGACAATTGGTTCTGTTAGGTCTATGATTAGATTGGCAATTCCACAACTTGTACTGTAGCTTTAGTAAAAAATGATGAATACATCATTCATAAAAACTATGGATGCAAGCATCGAGCTTAGTGACTTTCCAGCAACAACAAAGAAGAACAGACAATCACATTTGTAGTGTCTAGACAGGCATTTCTGGAAGCCTTCCAAGTTCAAAGGGAGTACAGTCTAGGTCTTGGAAATTACATCTGCAGGTTAGGAACGCTTCTCTAGAACCGCACTGGCATATTCTTGAAGTTGGCAGTAGCTGGCTAACTTCTGAATAGATGTTGGTGCTGGTCGACCAGCCCCCAAAGCTAGTTGACCGGGTCTAGCAGTTCCGAAAAGAGCTGTTGAACTCGCCATTGGAAATCACCCTACATATATCCCTTCATCTTCTCAGTAAAAGGTTGATGGTTTCTAGGGATTATCCTCTCACACATTTCCCTGCATATCCAAGAGAGATAAATAGGGAAAGATTACCAAATTGCCCCTCCACCCAAGAAGGCCTGGTTTAAACTGGAGGATCACACTCATAGGCCAAAGTGTTCACTGTAAGTGTGTCTCCTCTTCACTTCATTGTGTATTAGGATCACTCATGCATGCCACACACTACCTCTGCACCAACTTTATAAGCCTAGCTCCAAGAGGAGCTTGTGTAAGACTATTTGGGCTTTAACAGTACATGTAGAGATTGTGTTGTGGACCGGTTGTAGGTAAGCCTAGAAAAACTACAACAAATCCTAGGTATTTTCCTTGCAAAGGCTGGGGTAGGTCGGATGGTGGACCGTAGAAAACCTCCGAAAATCCTAGATAAAGTAGCATCTAGAGAGGTGGTTGGTAGGGGAGCCTAGGAAAATCATCACCAAATCCATTATAAAGTCTTGCAAGGACTTACTTGGGTGGACTAGTGATTTTTTCTGTTTGTAATCCACACAGTTGTTTTGTTGTTTTGGGGGGGGTTCTGGAAAATCCTATTTAGTGGAGTGACTCCCACCAAGGTGGTCGAAGAGTGGTTGTAGGCTAAGGGTTAGCTGACCCACTATATATCATTTGTTGTTTGTTCCACATTGAATATCTTTAATGTCGAATTGAGCAAATTGAATCATGTATGATTATACTTTCTCACTGACTTGAATTACAAAAATCTTATGTTCTAAGCTTTAATGCAATCAAGTCAGGTTGTTTAATTTGATATCATACTTGAATTATGTTGTATGACATGTTTAGAGGCACACAGTAGAGTGTGGAGCACTTTGAAATTGGGATTGATTAGAATAAAAAAACTGCCTAAAGGTAAAACAAGAGGCTTACTGTCTGGAGCTAATCCTATCCCCCAGACATTATATGAACCGAACTAACTTGCCAATGTGTGTGAAATGCTCAAATGACAAAAATGCCCTAATTTGAATTAATAAAAAAGAAGCCTAAAGGACCTTACTAAGAGAAATAAGAGACCATCCAAAAAGGAATCGAATGTGCGACAATTGTATGTTTCTGTGTGACCAGTGCATTTCAAAGTGAGTGCGGATGGGCATTTGGGAACGCACCTTATCAGCCATGTATTTGCAAATGAGTATGGATGCAAATGTTGTGCATAGGAACCACCAATGGATTTGAACTATGGAAAAAGAGTGATTGTGGCTTTCTTGTATGAAAGGCCCTAAAGTGAACCGATGTTCATTAGCACCCTTGTGAGGCATGTGGGTGGCATATCATGGGATGGAAGTCCCTAAAAACGGGTTGAATGATGTATATACAATTCCTTTGAATGTATTGATGTGTAAGATTAGTCTATTAGAGGTCATGATAAGTTCCATGATTGGCTATGCTTTGAATGAGTAAATTTTATAAGAAGTTGTCAACTGATTTATGGTGTATTCTCTGATTGCCCTCATGCCTTCATATGTCATTACTGACTAAGTTGTTCATGAAGACATAATCTCATTGATCTACAGTGCATATCATATGCTAGTTTCATAGGAGTTTGTCTTAGAACCTAATATGCAAGAAAGGATTTACAATGTTGTAGTCCTTACTCCCATGATACGGTATATATGTACCTTTCGCTAGGTTCCTTTTCTTAAAGTCGCGTATTGTTTTTCTCTCATGCGTTGTGGCATATTCTAACATTTTTCAAGGATAAGCAACGCCAAGGGCAGAAGAACTCAAAGATGCAAAGAATATCATCATCAAGAAGTTTGACAAATAAAGTAGTATCTACTTTGCCCATAGAGAACCCATTCTCACCAACAATTGGCTAATGTTTCTTTGCTAAGCGCCGAGATGATGATGTTGTTTGGCTGAGATGAAGAAATCCTATTTGGGAGCTGCTAAGAATGTTGGGAGGCCTAAAGTCCTCATCCGTTACCGTCAACAAAAATGGAGTGTTCAGAATGGATGCAGAATCTTGCTTGATTAGGAGTGAATATCGGCGTAGAAGCCTAGTGGGGAGATTGGGTACGCTCAATTCAAAAGCACCAACAATTGACAAAGTAATCCGTTGAACAAAATAAAAACGGGGTCAGTTGGTCTGAAAGTAATTCCAATGACCAATTCACTCTTCATGTTTATGTTTCAATCGGTGAAGGAAGCAACGAGGATTTTGCATTTGCGAGATTGGTCTTTAGAAGGTACTCCATTATTTCTTGACAAATGGGTACAGTGGGCTGGATGTTTACGTTGTAGAGATATGGAAGTGGAGAATGTAATTGGTATACCGAGACATCTTTGGTGTCATGAGTTGTTTGTTACAACTGGTAATTGTATTGGCGAATTCGTGGAGCTTGATTCTCTACAAAGGAATATGTTGATACAAAGAGTACAAGAATTCTGATTAGAGATTCAATTTATTCCATACCAGCGACGATCACAGTGAATGTTAATTTTGTCTTTCCAGTTTGGTTTGAGGTGAAGCCGTTCATTGTGGCAAAAAATAACTTTGTGAAACCAGCAGATCTTTCATTGACAGGGAGATGAAATTCTGTTTTCAGCAGACTAAAAATTCAAGGTCATCAACAATGGAGGGTGACAAATAAAGCCGGTCATCCATGGAGATTTGAGGAAAGGAAAATACGGGATACTAGGAGAGGGATATGGGGAGACAAATTAGGAGTTTCCCAAATCCAACTTTTTACAAGAAATTCAAAATTCAAAGTTCTGGCTTTATTTGGGTTATGCGAAATGGGCTGCCCCCCCAAACTGGGCCTCACAGAGTAGTTCATAATACTGGCCCAGTCAATTATAAGGCATCAGGTGTAAACTGGAATTTGAAGGGCTTTATTTTATAAAATGGGCTTCAACAAAACAGTGGGTTTAACGAGTGTGATAATATGCAGACCCATAAAGATCCAAAAAATAAGATCTGGGTTAATAAAGATAACCCACTCTCTTCTACACCCGAAATCGACAAGCTTCCCCAAGATAGAGAACGACACTTAGGTGTTGAGCTGAAGGATGAGTTTTGAAGCACAAACACCCAGATGATGAAGGCCAGAAAGTCTGCTACAGTAGGGCGAACAGGACAGAGGAGTTCTTCTCTGTCAACGGAAGATTGCAACTCACGATTTATTGTGAGGACGAAGAGAGTTGTTGTAGAGACAACAAAGGAATCTGGTCAGGTGGACTCTGGTTTACCAAGTGGCGAGGGAGATACTTATTCACAACTCAATGAGCCCGTACATAACATTCCTTCTGATCATTTACTGGCTGGTATTCTGTTGGGATCTTCGTCTAAGTCTAATGGTTGGAACACGGGCGAAGCCAGAAATTTTTTCTAGGGTGGACACACTTCACCGGCAAAATTTAATTTTTTCTCCAATCAATAAAAGTATTGTTGTACATGTCTTTTTTTTAAATCGTGTATCATATTTAAAGATTTATTAAATACAAAAGGATCAAACGCCAATATATGTAGTCTATGAAAACAATACTCAATAAAAAAAGGCTAATTATAACCCTTTGCGAAAAATGAGGCTAATTATAACCATGTACTATGGACCCTGACAACTTTTCATACTTTGAAAGGATTGTATGATAATGTTATTAATAATGTTATGAAAATGTCTTTCTCTATATAAGTAATTAAGTTAATAGTAATCAATTTCAAGTTAAGTCGCATCAATTTTAAAAAATTATAATAATTTCAAACAATTATGAATAGTATAAGATTGAAAGTTATCAAAAAAATAGGCTCAATCACTAGTCGCAACTTTTAACATATTTTCACCTTTCTTTGAGTGAAAAGTGTGCCCAATTATTTTTTTGCACAAGAATTAGTTGGTCCAAACTTATTAGTGATCAAATATTTTGGTTTTTGGTCATGAGGGTTGGCCTAATTCCAACTACCTAATAAAAAACCATAAATATATAAAGGTGAAATTTTTTTTTTTTTTTTAGGGTGGGCATGTGCCCCCCCTCGGGGTCCCTATGTCCCTCCGCCCTTAGGTTGGAATGATTCGACATGTAAAGTGCTACATAATGAGGCCAAGCAACTAGGCTGAGTATGTCTAAAATTTGAAAGGGAAAACAAAATTAGATGCTGAAGATAATTTGATGGAAACAGCTTTTGTTCATGATTCAGAGGATTTTGATAGTTTTGGGACTCCGAAGATGATTTGTTGTTAGAGGAGTTGAGAGAATATGATGATGCTTCCTATGTCTCCGAA